ATTTTGAAAAATCCGTTATGGAGACTAACTTGTCGACATCAGGTAGGTTTTTGCAAAGGATTGCAAAAGGATTGAAAAGCGCGCAATTATCTAAATATCTACATTGACTAACTTTTGTGAAAATAAAGTTTCTAAAAGAATATTCAAGTTAATCTCTTATCATCAATCAACCTGTTAATCTAATCAAAAATGAAACTTCCAGAGTAACAAAGTTACGTTTTTCCAATGAAGGTAACGCTAAAGGTATCAATCTACTTTTAGAAAATGACAAGGAGACTTGCCAGTCTAATCTCAATGTGTTGGCCCCATATTGCGCATAGACCAGGGTATTCAACAATAAGAGTTGTTCAAGGAATAAGAAAAGCAAACTGTTTTGTTGTCATAATCTCCTTAAAACTATGGTCAGAATTTCCATCCACTATCTTAAAATAAGATAACGATTCAGCATTGGGGAGTACGTGAGTGACAAAGTTAGTACTAGTAGAAGAAACGGTTGCATTCAAAGAAAAATTCTCTTTTATTACGATAAAGTTATAGCTTCAGGTAATTCAGGAAAAGGCAGAAGATTATCAATTTTTTCAAGGCTGTGAGCCTTGTCTTAACATTATTTTGGGTAACTTTTGACCTTAGGGCATATTTAATTGCAGAAAATATTTGTTGACAATCTTACGATCTTAGTTACACAGACATACAAACATGGCAAAATCAGTTCGATTATTTATGCATATCAAGAACACAAACTGCCGATGCATATTTATAAGGCATGAAAGTAAGCGACAGGTGCAACGTATTCTAGATAAGAGCTAGACACCGTAGGTCCAATTCAATATGTGACCATTATATCCTTGACCAACACGTACTTGGCAGATTTAATATACCTATATTCCTTTTGTAATGGACATAAAACAAAATTACTTCGCCTTTTGACTTCTCCTCGTTTTGTGTCGAAGACACAACTCCAGCAGTCCATTGCTTTCGAACAATGTAAAAGAAAAAGAGATATGAGTTTTTTAATTGTATCAGTAATTGCCGATGTGCGTCAGTTTACCAGAATCATTTTTACACTGTGTATTTAAAATGTCCCGATAGAGGTAAAGTATTCTTATCTGTCCATTTTGCTGGTAATTTCGTGGGTAATCCGATATATAATCGATCAATGTAACCTGATTTCAGTTTTCATGAGTATTATTGAGAGTAGCTCAGAGAGAGAGAGAGAGAGAGAGAGGGTGAGGGAGCAATTAAAACTCTAGAATATACAATGAAACTGTGACTTCTCAATTTGAAAGCACTGTCTTTTACGCAATTATACAAATCATCGCACTAAAGCGTACACAGCGTAGTTTCTTGGAGATGTAGGTTTGCGCCAAAAAAACAGATATGAAATTTACGAGAAACTGTACTTTTCCTGATTAATTCAAAGGATAGCGCGGTTAAATTCTTACGAGTGATGAACAATGGATGCGTTGCAATAGCTATAGCCTCAATAACCATGATAGAAAGTATGGGAACCAAGAACATCAACCATAAGATTGAATATAGTTGAAGACCCCATTTGAAGGGGTAAAAAGGGTGTGATGTACTAATATACCAAAAGTCATGATATCGTAAGTTTCAATAAATTACTTATTGTTTGCTCGAACGGTGCTTCGATTGTTATGCTCAAATGCTCAATATGGGTGGAATAGGCTGGAATCAAAGATCACCTGAGTCGTAACGATCAATAATATTCGAGTAGAAAGCCACTAATCCACTAATTTCTTTGAATACACCTTTCATAGTTACAAGAAAACCATCAAAACTTATATCTCCGCACAATGTTAAGGGAAGGAGAGAGCCAAGTTTTTACAGCATGTAGGAAGCATTTTCATTTCTTAGAATTTCATTTAACTTTACTTAGCTTACATTTTAGTTAAATTGTTGATGAAACTTTAAAGTTTTCTGGATAATTTGTAGAGCACCAAAAACGTGTTTATAGTCTTGTTCACTTTTCATATTAAGTATTAAGAGTTCTTAATGGAGCCCTTAGAGTTAGAATGACCTCAATAAACTCGTTTAACAATTTCACTAATTTCGATCTACAAACATATAATTTTTGTACATGTTTATGAAAATATGATGAATGGAAAATAAATTATCTTGGGAATTTAAAAAGAAAGAAAAGAGACGCATGTTTGATTATGTCTGCGGATTAGAAGAAAAGCAGAATAATAATAAACAGCCGTGTATTTAAAATATTATTAAAAGAAGAAAATAATTTTTTTCCTTTTAAGGAACAGAAGGCATCTTCTGCTTCTTTCTGGCTCTACAATTTCAATGAGATGACGTACCGTACGGTCCACGTGTCGCATTTTCATATTATTATTTTGCTTTCAATAAGATCAACTTTGTGCGTCTTTTCTGGTGGATGAAATTTCAACCTCATTTTACTGAACTTGAGCTATTTTTCATACAACTTGCTCATGATTTCAGCTGAAATTACAGAAGCTTCAGTTATCTCTGGTATGGCCCTATAAATAATACATAGCATTTTTAATAGTTATGAAATATAACCGTATTCTAAGGGATATGTGGTGTAATTACATTGCCATAACACCTCGCTCAGGAGTGAGCCTAACTTGGGCTACATTTCAAATGGAAACTTGATTTCTTCAGTAAAATCTTTGAATCTGATAGAGAACATAATAAGTATCATATGAGAGCCTTTACATTAAGGCTATGCATTTGCATAGTTAGACCAATACTTGAGTATACCACGGTTGTGTGATCTCCCTCCTATAGGTGTTATGTGCATTCAATTGAATTAGTTCAAAAGTAATTCTTGCTGTTTGCCCTTAGGAATTGGGTTTGGGAGTCACTTGCCTCTTTGCCTCCTTGTGAAAATAGGTTGCTTTTGCTATCCTTACCGTCACTTGAGAAACGTACATTTATTTTTAGTGTTCGCTTCTTAGTTAATGGAACTGACGATTCGTCCACATTAGTTGGGGCATTAGTTGCTTCTCGAGGCTAATTGCTTCACGTTCATTAAGCTGAATCAATATAATTATGGTTATGGGCTGTTTAACCCGTTTAGAGTTGTTCGCAGAAACCTAAATGATATCTATCACTTAATTTCAATAACGGATTCTTTAAATTCTATCAAAGCAATTTTGCTTAATACGCGCGATTTGTTTACGTCGTATTTAAACTAACTTTTAATCTTAACATCTCATTGCCATTCGCAAAATTAATTGATGTTGTTTAACTGCCGTTAATATATTTTAGTTGTGTTTGAATTTTATTTCGCCTTTGCTAACTTCCGTTAAAATGGTTAAGCCCTAAGGAAAGCTTCCTCAATAAATAGTTTAGTTATGCTCATGAATCCTTAAAACTCACTTCTTGTAAATTGTTGAGTTTTTTATGAATAACAAGCCATAGGTGTATGGGGGATTAAGTTCGTTTACAAATTTTGTTTATGACCGATCAATAAAACTTTAGCTAAATCTTGCTTTTTCCCTCTCAATTTTGTGTTCTTATCGTTCGAACAAAAAGCGACAGACAGTCATACAAATTAATATACAGTGAGGCAACCGAGTATAAATAAGTAGTAAAATAAAAACGCGTCCGTCATGCAAAACTGCAGAAAGGTAGACGAATGGGTAGGCAGACACTTAGGCGAACGGACACACGAACAAATAGACGGACAGAAGAATAAACGAACGGAGGAATACGTAGGTGAATGCAAGGATGGACATGGCGGGCGATGCATAGACGAACGAATGGATAGATGGACGCGTGGACGAAGAGACAGACAGAAAAACGTACAGATAGACAAGGTATTAAAGAGACTGATAGACCTAGAACCGTAAAACGGTAGCGTTAGACGGCAAGGCGAGTGCATGGGAGTGCGCTTAGTCGGTCTGTTGAGCAGCTAACATACCGAAGAAAAGACAAACAAATAGATAGACATGTGAATGAACAAATAGATAACTGGACGAACAGATGGATGAACGGAGAGGCAAACAGATAAGCGAACAGATAGAGGAACGAACCAAGAAGTGAACACAACGATGAATATGCGAATGAGTATCAGAACAGATAATGGAACGGGTAGACAATCAAAAATGGAGAAATCGCCTTCAATAGTGGAGATGCGATTAAAGCCTTTCTTTGACACTTACAACACACAACTGCACAAAAAATTTCCTTACGGATGAAAATGGATTGTAAAATATAAAAATTAAAAAAAAAAAAGACGCAAATGCTAACATATTTTTACCATCACATGAAGTATTGTAGGATGAAAGAAACCAGAGACTGATAGCCCTTTGGCGATAATCAAGTTAAAGTCGATATTTTAAAAATTAAATCAATCTCGTATACGTGAAGATTACTTTGATGTTATGATAATAAACTAACTGTGACTAACGTTAACTTATTTGAGATGCCGCATCTGCTTAAGTTAAATTTTCATTTCAAATCAATTTAATTTATTCACCCCATCATTCATTGTTTACAGTTTTCCAGTAACTGCGCCCGCCGGTAATTTTAATAACAATTAAAAATAAATATTCTGTAAAAAAAAAAAAAAGAAAGAAAAACAATAACAATAACAATAAAAACAACAACGGCTTAGAATTCTATTGAATATCTAAAAACGAATGCCAATGTCGGTGAACTACAACAACAACAGCAATAACAACTACAACAACAACAATTCAAACGCTTAACCTGCGAATTGGAATGACATTTAACAGTTGAAAGTTCTGAGTGCATGCAAGTTAACTTTTAAGTAAATAATATTTTGTACACGGTTTGCACTGCTATCATTGCGTTTCTAGTTAAGGTACAGCTTTGAACTAAATTTGACGCTCGAAATAGTATTTCGCTGTTGTTGTACTAAGCGAAATTTTATATATAGAAAAAAAAAAAAAAAAAAGAACCGGATATAAAAATTCCGGAGCAATATTTAAAAACTGATTTTTTTTTAATACTTTCACTAAGCCATCCAATTGCATACACATACACATAAGCATAAACAAACATATGCGAGCTGAAATTTAAGCAGCGATGGTACGGCTGGCTTATGTGTTATATGAAATAAATGCCGGCCAATAAATAAATGTCCGCTTTAAATTAGTGCTAAATTATGAGTAAAAAAATTGATTTCATATAACTGATCGCAACAGCGTTGTCTGCTCTGTAACATAAGAACACTACAGAAGGCAATAAACAGCTTTTGAGTTTATCGCCCACAACAAACGAAAACATTACGATGCCACTGAGCAGTTATCTACGATTTGTGTTGGCTGTTATTTGGTGCAGTCTGTGTACGCGAAAGATTTATGGTAAGTACATGTAACCCCGTAAGCTTTTGCTTGAATTGCAACACATGCAACAAACACTTCTCGTTTACAGCGCAAACCACTTGCAAGAACGGCTTGGGCCGCGTACTCTACGAACGTTTACCGAATCAACAGCTGCAAGGCTATGATGACGATGTGGTACGCGATACGGCACCGCCTTTTCGAGTTTTAGAAAAATGTCAAGATTTGTGCTTGCGTGACCGCACCGGAACAAATAATTTAGTGCGTACCTGCACTAGTTTCGATTTTCAGCCAGGCAGTCGTATAACGGCATTTGGCGGTAACACCGAATACGAAGAATCATTATGCTATCTAACATCTGAACAGGCCAGTCCAGAAGGCATTGGCAGCCTAATGTTGGTACCCAACAGCGTTCATTTCAATGAGATATGCTTGACATGTAAGTAAACTGGTCTGCTACGACCGTCTCCATGACATACATAAAGAAGAAGAAATACATGATAATGATGATGATAATAATGATGATGATGATGAAAAGAAAAAGAAAAAAAAACTAAAACTAAAACTAAAGAAAAAACCTGCTTCTTTTCTTTACGCCATTGTTTTCGCTCGCCTATGTTCATGATATAATATTTTTTAGCTAGCCGTCCGGAGAGGGAATGTCCCAGTCGACGCTATGTATTTGAACGTCATCCACGCAAGAAACTCAAGTTACCCATTTCGGACATTAAAGAGGTTGTTCAATGTCATTAAATTTATTTAAAACACGAATTTGTTCATATTGTTATATGTTAACACACAAACATATCTTTTCTATTTGCACAGATAACGGCCGCCAATCGTTCGGATTGTGAGGATAAATGTCTCAATGAATTTTCGTTTGTATGTCGTTCAGCGAACTTTGATTCGACCATGCGTTCATGTGCACTAAGCAGGTTTGTACACACAGCCAATAAAGGCAACGCTTGTGTTAAGAAAGAAACATAAGAAAAGGAAAAAAACTTTTTTTAATATCCATAACTTGTAGATTCACCAGGCGCACACATCCTGAATTATTGGAAGATGATCCAAATTCGGATTATTTGGAAAATACTTGTCTAAATGGTGAGCACATACGAAGCATAACGCATTTCATATAATTTTATAAGATTTTTAATGTCAGCTGAGCGTCGCTGTGATGGATTGGCGGTATTCGTTAAAGAGGAGAATAAACGCTTAGGTGGCCCTTTCGAAGTGGACATTTTCAATAATATGACACTAGAAGAATGTCAAACGATGTGCCTTAGAGCCGAAAAGTAATTCATTATCCATTAACATAATGTGCTTTCAGACCAATTTCGTTTCCATTTAGATACTTTTGCCGTTCTGTAGAATTTGATGATCAAACGAAGCAATGCATTTTGTCCGAAGAGGATTCAGTTTCGCAAAAAGATGACATTAGCATCAGTTCTAGTCCAACGCATCATTTCTATGATCTTGTATGCTTGGACAACCGTAAGTTTTAATTAATATCAAACTTGTTAATCACCTCTTCAATGTACGTAAAGTATTGCCTCTATACTTTGTACGGTTTAGTTGTGTGCGTTTTCTTCTTTTGCCTCTTTTGTTTTTTTTTTTTTGTGTTGTTTTTTTGTAGAACGCGCCACCGATTATCCTGATAACTCGGTGACATCGCATCTCTTTTCCAGTGGTCGACGACCTGATACAGCTTTTCAACGTTACCGTAACTCACGGCTTGGTGGCGAATTCCATTCTGAGATAACCGGTCGTTCATTAAGCGAATGTCTAGATGAATGCCTCCGCCAAACGAGTTTCCAATGCAGGTAAATGCACTTATTATAGTTATGTTTTTTTTTTTTTTTAATAATTAAATTAATGCGCTTTCCACTTATGCCTGGTGTCGTCGCTGCGTCTCAATCAACTCATGAAACGCGTGCAGATCTGCTGTGTACAGTGATCGTTTTCGTACGTGTCGCCTAAGTCGCTACAATCAGAAAGACGGTATGCGTATCATCTACGATGCAGACTATGATTACTATGAGAATTTAATGCGTAAGTTTTTGTTATATATTTCTAGACAAAAATTAAGTCATTTTCCGGGCTAAGAATTTTTTATAATTGATTTGTTACCCAAGGCGCAATTTATTCATTTGTTTTCAGTAAATGTTATTAACGGTGCTAGCGATGCGGATGAACATGGCATTTCTGGGTCTGCATCTAATAACGGCCATCGACCTGGAGACCGTCCAGGCGATTCTAATTGGCGGAATCCGAACAAAGATAACGATCGTTATGGTAATAATCATTACAACGGCGGTAGTAATAACGGGGGCTTAGGTTATGGTCCATACGATCGGTATCCTGAGAACGATGAATACGGTAACCGAACAAATTTAATTATTAAGCGGTAACATATGAAACTAATATCATTGACCACTATTATTCGTTTAATATTTTTATCACCTTCTACCAATTACTGGCAAACTAACTCTTTTAACTCACTAACAATTTAACACAGACCGCCACCACGGACAAGGACTGGAACGTTATCCTAGTGGCGAACGTGATCACCTTGACCGAGATCGGCATCGTGATCGAGATCGAGATCGTTATCCGTACGCAGGACCCTATGAAGACGATCGTTATTCAATGAATGGCGACCGTAATCGCTATCCGAGCGATCGTGATCGTTATCCCAGTGATAGGGATCGCTATCCATCAGACCGAGATCGTTATCCGTCAGATATGGACCATTATCCTCAAGCAGATCGCTATCCTGACAATGGCTCTAACCGTCGTCCTTACGACGACCGCATGCCACCAAGAAATCCTTACATAGAACGTTATCCAACATCTAATTATGATTATCGTTATCCTACTACGAGTCGTTACCCATTACGAGACCGTTACTCACCGTATCGTCCTAATAACGGGCATTATTCGCCGCTTAACGATAACAAATTGCCTGGTGATGTAACCCATTCCAGACCCCATCCACCAGACGACGATTATCCATATCGCCCGTACCTTATTGGAAATCGTTATCCCGACGATCGGTACGCTATTCGATATCCATCGCGTTATCCACCACCTCGTGATCCTCTAAATGCTTATACAGGCCGTGATGCACCTGACGGCATTTTTCCCGATCGACGTTTTCGCCCCTCCTCGTATGACTCACGCTATCCGCTTGTTACTGAAGGTTCCCGTGATAACATTCCGCCTCCTCGTTATGGATCTGACGGCAGATATCCTCCTGAAGAAATTCTGCACAATGCTCGCCGACCTGAACCTGACTCCAATAGGCGTTACCCGTCAGCTCCTTTAATGCCCCCACCAGCGACACCTAATCGTTTTCCGGTAGGTACTGACCGTTTTCCTGCGGACATATACAAATATGGTAACCGTTTTGGTAATCCCAATTCAGGCGCTGCTGGGCCAGGTAGGATAATTTTTATTAAACTTCATTTCAGTAACAAGACTACAAAATTACATTCGCCTCATCAAGTAGATAATTATGAGAACATGTTACTTGATTTAGGTTACCGACCGCGACCTCCACCTCCTCCTGCCTTTTATGATATGGACTACGAAGAACGTTATAACGATCGCTACAGCCCGTACGATCGTGATTATGACAGATCGTTGGGTCGCAGACCTGGTCCTTCTGGATTAGGTTACCCACCCTATGAAAATCCTTTCAATCGTCCTTACCACGGCGGTAGCGGTTCCTTGACGCCCTTGCCTAATGATCACCCTATACCGGGAGCTTTACCAGCTCCCCGTCCTCCATCTTACAATGGGCCTCCGGCGGGCAGCATACCACGTCCACCCATAACTAGATGTGAAGAAAGCGATAATTTTAAACAAGTAGCTGCTCGCCACAAAATGCGACGACACTTCATACGCAGAGCTCTTGTAGTTCCTTCTCTGATACAATGTGAAAGAGAATGTGTAGAGAGTCGGGAATTTATTTGCCGCAGTTTTAACTACAGGTTTGCACTTAGTGCTTTGGGTTTTAACAGAACAGACATGTAAAACATTATTTTATATGATAGGGACACAGCAGTTTCCAACTACGATGACCGAGGATTACCTAATTGTGAATTAAGCGATCGTGATTCGCGAGATTTAGATGTTCACGATCCCAGCTTATTTGATGCAGCCAATTATGATTTTTACGAACGTAGCATAGCACGTAGTGATGGCGAATGCATGGACGGTAAGAATATGCAAATAGTATGTTTTCGAATTAATAAAAACAAATAACTCAGTGACCCAAACATGCAACGAGGAGGGCATGGAATTCACTATTCGCACTCCGGAGGGTTTTGTGGGCCGTATATATACATACGGTTACTACGATAGGTAACTATTGTAGTTTATAAATTTGCTCTCAGAAAGTGATGCATTTTTTTTTTTGATAAAACTAAGATGTTTCTTCCGTGGCAATGGTGGTACAATAAATGTTTTACGTATAAGTGGTCCTCAGGGTTATCCAGATTGCGGTACACAAAAAGTATGTACGTTCTTATTAAGCTTAACGATCTTTCCCGATTGTGCTTTTATTTGATAGTACGGCGACACGCTTACCAATATTGTGGTTGTGCAATTCTCGGATAATGTACAAACGAGCCGTGACAAACGTTATAATTTAACGTGTGTGTTTCGCGGGCCAGGCGAAGCCATTGTCACATCTGGCTACATAGGAGCAGGGTATGTGTAAGATTGTGTTGAAATTTGTATTAAATGTAGAGAGTTTGAATAAATAAACCGCAAATTTGATTAGATCTTTAACGACAAAATGTTTCTCAAACACACCTTTAAAACACGTCTAAAACAAAACGTTGACTTTAATACAATGAAGATTTAATTATAGCATACTTTTAGGCAGTAAATTTTAAAATTGAATTATTAAAACGTATTGTAGTCAAGTTGATAACCTTATTGTAAAAGTTAAAAACAAAACCAAAACGTAGGAGAAATGTTTTTTTTTTTCGTATAACATTCTTTATAGACTTTGGTAGAGTACCGTACGTAGCTTACTTAAACCACTAATACCGTATACTAATTATTGCATTTGGTAATAAAGAAAATGAGTTGAAACGTATTATCTTCATTCGAAAGGTTTAAATTTCGTCATTAAAGCATTTGTTGTTTATGGTTTAACAATTTGATGTTGTTAGAAGTTTTTCTAACATTCTTAGATCTGGCAGTCCCATTCCAATTGAGTACTTACCGGCGGAGAATACCTTGAGCTCCAAGGTGCGTCTGAGTATTTTATATCAAGGCAGACCCACAACTACCATAGCTGTAGGAGATCCTTTAACATTCCGTTTAGAGGCTTTGGACGGTTATAACCACGCTACAGATATCTTTGCCACAAACGTCCTAGCACGGGATCCCTATTCCGGTAGGAGTATACAACTTATCGATCGTTTTGGGTAAGTTTTTCATAAAGATTTTGTTAACAAATCAAATACTAAGCTTCTTTTAATTACGATCTAGCTGTCCAGTTGACCCATATGTATTTCCCGAATTGGATAAATCACGTGACGGCGACACGCTAGAGGCACGATTCAATGCTTTCAAAATACCTGAGTCGAATTTCTTAGTTTTCGAAGCTACAGTACGTACATGTCGTGAAGGTTGTCAACCCGCTTATTGTCCCGGCCCGTCGGGTCGTCAAGAACCTTCCTTCGGAAAAAGGCGAAGAAGATCTCTTAATAATACTGAAACTGTTGTTGAAGGAATCTACTATGAAGAAAATCAAAATAGTACAGAACTGTTTCTAGAACCGATGGCTGAACGTCTGATAGACGAGCCGACGGAAGTAAATAGTACCACTATATCTGCAACGCTGGGAGATGGTAATAATTCTTTTTATTTTATGATTTTATTTCCATTTTGGGTGCGTCGCAGGTACTAAATGTTTCAATACAAATGTGCATTCGAAGCTTTATAAGTAAGCTTCGGAAACGTGTTGGTTGGTGACTTAGTACGTCTTCTAATCATTCATACGATATCAAAGGGTTACGGTTCTAAAATTTTTTGAAGAAAATCAAATGTAATCAGACAATTTTTTTTTATCATGCGCGTCAAGAGATCTCACCGAGGATCCAGTTTTTCGGTCCGTGAGTCCATTCAGAATAATTAAAGGACGGTTTAAGTTCGATTCTCTTTGAAGAGATCATGTTTGATTTTTCTTAAAGAGTCGAAGACCAAGTCTTTCGATGCGTAGGCGCATATATATATATACAAATACAAAATACTTATTGAGAGAGCGAGCTAAGTAGTTTCGTTTTACTTACTTCTTTTTGATATTTATTTACGCTTACGTGTTCGCTTTAAATTCTGCCCGCATAAAGCCAACGCGATTTCATATCCGATTGGATTGCGTGTAGAGCGTGCCGTGTAAAAATAAATGCAAATGTGAATGAAATTTTACCCTTATAATTATGAATTAAATTTACAGGGAATACCATAGACAATGACAGCGAGGAACCAGAGCAGGTCAGGGAAATGATTGAAGTGAGTCAAAAAATATATTTTTCCACGGTTTTCGAACATAGTTTACTCATTAATTTGGAATTTTTGGTTTTGTTTGAAAGGTATTTGAAACCCGTGAAGAGATTGAAAAGGAGGCATATCCTCGTAGATTAATGGCTCCCATTGAAACTATATGCTTGACACCATCCGAATATCATGGTCTCATAACGGCTATCATTTTATTATTAATTTTACTGCTAAGTATAACTCTTGTTGCTGGACTGGCATACAGACGCTATTGGATAACAATGTCTAAAAATCGTTTAGCAGATCGGCACTCACCCTCACACTCGTATGGTAATTCATCAATACGTACTCATCACGAACGTTTCAGTGAAATTGGTCATATGCCAAGCGGCTCGAATCCTACGAATGCTCGAAGCCAGCGCGCTACAAATTCATTTCGTACAAATGTTTCAATGTTTGGCGGCACTTTACATAAGACTTTTGCTACCGGGTATATATTTTTAAGAATTAACGTCCTTTCTTAGTCATTATGAATCTTCTTTTTGAAAAACAGTAATTTAGCACGAATGTGTCAATTGCCAGTTATGAACCCTATGCGTACAAATCACTCGAATACTAATCATCAATTTGAAGATCCCAGCGAACCCATATACACTGATCCGTCTTTATTTGAGCGATCTAGGTTTGTATATAAAAATTCACGTCCAAGAACTTGTAGCCCATATTTTGGGACAAAACGAGTAAAACCACAATCGCACAAGTGGTATAGGGTGCACTTGAAATTGTCTAAATGATCTACGTACATATACATTCCTTTTTATTGATTACGAACAGGTCTCTCCGTAGCCTAGATGGAGGCAATGGCGAGCCAGAACAACGTCACGCTTTATAAAAGGAATCATGAGAAAAAAGAATAAGGACTAAATCTCTAAACATTTTATAAATACACCAAAACCTGTTTTTACACAACAGTTCAATTTACAAAACAAATGCCATCGGGACGTTTTACGAAAGCATTCAATACTGATTCTCTACGGATGACACTCCGCAAAAAAATGCAGGCATCATCTACACAATCTTATAAATATGCTTTTTTATGTTTCTATTCTCTAAACGTGTATAAAAGCACCGCTGGAATAGGACCTGGTATTAGCGCATAGTCAGGCAGCCATAAATGAATTTAAAAGGAAAAAATCTTATCAAACCGTGCTAGAGCGAATAAACCCGCACAAAATAAATTGCATTTTCTCAACATTTTTCTTAATTGAAATCGTGTAAGAACAGCTTTAGGTGTATACGCCTCGTTTAATATTTACATTTTATATCATAGCAATTATTTTATATAATAACATCTAATAAACTCTACAGCAGTAGGGATAGCGTTAATTAAACATTTTTTAAAACTAATAACAATATTAACTAGACAAGGTCATCATCACCAAACCGTTGGCGTCCAGCAAGCAAAATATTTTGTAACCGGACTTTATTAAAAATTTTCTTTATATAGAGTCGTACGGCCGAAGTCAGTTTGACCTAAACATTTCCAATTGCTGCTGGTATCTCTTCTCTATGCCGAATCCAAACACATACAAGAATTTAAAGCGAGCTTTTCGATATGCACCTAACTATGGGGAAATGACGAAAAACTTTTAATGTACAGACGGACGGACAAGCGTAATTAAATCTAAATGGATGGTTTTTGCGCGTAGACAGTGTTAAGGAATTCCCTAATGAAAAATTTAGATAACTGTGTGGAAATGAGGAAAAAGATTAATGGCCAGAAGGACGGGCAGACATAATTACATCTTAATGGATAATTTTTGCCCACAGCTAGGGTGAAGACATTCCCTAATGAGGAGGAATTTATCTGACTATGTGGAAATGAGAGAACAGTTTAATAGACAAAAGGAGGGACAGACATAATTAAATTTCTATGCAGAGTGTTTGCCTATAGACAGTGTTAAGGTATTCCCTAATGAGAGAGATAAAATAAATTTCTCCTCTAGAATATTAGAATTTTAGCTTTAACTCGTATCACCAAAGAAAAAGGAAAAAAAAAGAAGTTTTGACAACAGAAGCTCATACAGTCTTAATCTGTGATTAAAGCCTGAACAGTGTAATGTATAGTATCAAGACAAACTGCCTTTACATGAAATTCTTCAAAGAGAAAAAAAAAAATATTTTTTTTTAAATAATTTTAAAAGCAAAAAAAAAAAAAAAATACCAAAAAATAGTTCGTAATTATAAGCATAATTCTAAGCACAATTTTTGTCTTACATGCGTTTTATTAAGACTAACAATTATTTTTATGGCAACCGCAATTATAATATATTTGATATAATAATTTTTTAATAAATTTTTTCCTTCTTAATGTATCTTCATTTAGCAATTTGTTCTTTCTTTTTGCTTTTTGCTTTTTCTTGCTTACTAGAGGGGAGTGAACTGTGTGTATGTGACTGTGCAACCAGTACGTGTAATATTCACGATTTCCTCATTTAACTAAACGTTCATAATCGTACAATTATATATACTACTACCTAACTTATTTAATACCTCAACCGAAAATTATGTATGTCTCTGATTTAAAGTAAACTGAGTCAATTGCTGCATGCATTTCGTTATGATGACCTTGAATTTTTACAAAATATTTAAAACTCGAAAATGCGAAGCCACAATAGGAGAGTATATTCGATTCTCTTCTTATTTGTAACGTTCATAAAGGGCATCTTCTTAAATTACGTAAGGCTTGATCAGAATGAATTTAGTCATAGGAAGTTCGACTTTTTATCGGTCTAAAGTATTGCTTTTTGATTCGCTTACGTTTTTTCCGGCTTTATCAGATTGGCAATTTTCGGAATGTTGGTCTAGGTCCAGCCAATATCCAATCAGCAGACATTACTTTTCGAAAGCTAACCACGAGACGTCTTGCAATTGGCATCCTAGAAAATAGTTCAAAGTACCACTTATCTAGTAGTACCCTACATTGCACTTAGTAGGAATATGCACTATTCCACTTGCTTAGGATATACGCCAGAACCGTCCAATGCTTGTATTCTATGAAAATATACATCGGAGGAAAGTAGAGTGTACAATTTCTGAGCAACAAATGCAGTGGAATCAATTGAGACGCATTTGTCTACCTCTTTCTGTCGAAATAACTATTAATATTAAAGCGTCGAAACTTTGTCCATACAGACACCTGATTACCATCTGCAGTTGAGGTTCAATACTTTTTCGTGGTTTTTCACATTTAAAGGACATATTGGATGTGTTAAAAATTTGCAACCTATTAAAAGCTACTGGAAACCATAAGAGGCAGAAAATGGTTCTGATCTGTCCACTTTTTCGACCACGTGCAAAGGAATGCTTCATTTTGAACCGTTCTTTTACGGAAAAAATGAAACATCGAAAATTTTTCGCTTCAGCATTCTAGGATGCTATGAAAAATTTGGTTCGCCTGGGGCAACTTTTTGGGGCCACTCTCCGATAACCGTTTCTACAATAACTGAATTAAAAAAATCGATTTTTCTATATTTCATGGTGAAAACTGTTTCATAAGAGTAAATTGACAACGAAATCAACTTTACCGAATTTGGACTACATAGGTGCATTTTTTAAATACACAAAATTTTTTCATGATAATAATTTCACATCAAAATTGAGTGGACCAAATTTGAACCGTATGGATCCGTTTTGTGGACTTTTCCCGATACAAAATGAAGATAATAAATCTTTCAGACAAAAATTTCATTTTTAACATTTTATGACGAAGATTGGTTCATAGTATTCAAATTAGGTCTATTTGTTAGACCTTAACATATATAGGGGAGGAAAAAAAAACTATAATTTCTCGTTTTTTACGACGAAAACTGAAGAAGTAAATTAAATTTTTCATAATTTGGATTAAGAGCTGGGATGTTTTGGGCATCCCCCAATATGCGGGCAAGCCTTTGCCCGATAGTAATGCGCAATCTTTGGCGTATAATTACCAAAACTAGTGAATAACTAGACTAAGCAGTGTAGCGTCTCCAACGGTCGGTCTTCGTTATTTTTTTTTTCGCTTTTTAATCAATTTTTTTCCATTTTTTATTTTTTTTTTAAATTCTCATTGCATCCAATCATTCATGTTCATATAATTTAATGTAGAATATTTGAAATTTAATTAACTGACTTTCTTTCTTAAGTTTCAAATTTCATTCACATTTTCTTTCTCTTCATTTATACTAAAAGACATGATCGCTAAAAACTCAATATTCTCAAGCAGAGTTATGTAAGTAACACATTGTTACGTATTATCGAAAATGGTTCTGACACAGCGAGCGTGCGTGCGTGCAGCGAAGACACAAAATGCATTTAAATGATCGTTTCATAGCGGAAATAATGCAAAATTATTTGAAAGCTTTCCGAGTTCAGAGCTGAACCGAAGACAACGTGATTATTTATTTGGTGTTAAATGTTTAAGTGAAAAATTAAAAAAGGATTACAAAAGTTCAAATATTAAATTAATTTAATAGAGAAACGTATTAAGTTTAAATTTTTTCTAATAATGTTTAAATTCTTCGTTCAGCTGCTATTCATGCTAATTATTTCCAATTTGTCTAACGGCCGCTATATAGAAGAAAGCAATGACTATCACTTATCACTACCGCCTCAACTGCCCCACACTCAGGGTGCGACGGCTAACAGTTATTACAATTATCCCTATAGTGTAGCGGCGCGACCCTACTACTATCCTCATCATCATCATCAAGTACGAGATTATCGATCAATTTAGTTGTTTTTTTTTTTTCTTTTTTAATTTTCGTTTTCATTCACCTTTCGTTGTTAGGTTAGTTTGTATTCACCACCTGGTTCGTATTTCGATCAAAGGCGAAGTGTATTTCGGCCTTTTCCCGGCGGCGGTTCACCTATTCTAATAGATTACGTAAGTAATCGCTAAGAATTTTCAAATACCAAGAAAAAGAAAATAAAAATCATCCTTATCCGTATCCTTATCATACACTAATTAGCATAACCGTTGTTCCGATAATTATTTGGGGTTAAAGCCGCATCCAACGCAACAACAATATTATTACCTATGTAAACCGGATTGTGTGATTTTTGGAAAATGCCAAAATCTACAGGTATTTATGACATTATAATAACGAATAAGTAAATCGTGTAATATTTTTCTCTTAAAGACCTTCAACTATGCCAGCAGCCAATGCGTACAGTCTATGCCAGATTACATGACGAATTGCTCATCAATGGGCATTTTTCCCATCTATTCTGATTGTCATTTGTACTATAAGTGCAATCAACAGTTGCAGGCGCATATTTATTCATGTCCTAGGAAGACGATCTTCTCGCCACATTCAAAACAATGCATAGCCGGTAACAGCTGCTCACCCACTCAAATATCTGAAAATGGTTCACTCTTCTTGCAAGAGAATTGTGAAAAGAAATTCCCATCTTGCGTGCAAAATGGTTTATTTAGGTCTCCCTCAGATTGCTCCTTGTATTACAAATGCGAAACGCAAAATAATGGAATATTTTTACAAACCCGATTCAAGTATTGAAACTTTCGATTTTGTTTGAATTTTAATCAGTTTAATTAACATTTGATTATCATTCGTAGATGTCCGTCCGACATGTTCTACGATTTGCAGAGATATCAATGTGAGGTTAAGGAGAAAGTCGCCTGCGATTGTATATCTGCGGTAGATTTGGTTTACCCGAAACTTAATTACTATCAGTTGCCCATAATGATGAAATTCCCTGAAGATGTTTTAGAAGAAAATCCTTATCCTACCGAAAATGTACACAACAATTGTTCGAAGCCAGAAGACAAAGGTATAGTAAATCGATAAAGTTATTATTAGAAAGATGTTTTATTCGATTTCAATCTCTCATCTATAAGTCACTGAAGGTTCCGGCAATGAAGACTTAATGACTGCAACCACAACGACAGAAAGCATCCCCTCTATCACCTCAACCGATTTGATGACTGTAGCCGATACGGAAACTCAAGGTCATGAAACCTACTTCGCAACGACAACTGAGATATCAATCTCAGATGATTTCTTAAAATCTTTCCAAGTTATTGAGTCTAACAGTGAAGAGCCCGACAGTAGAGAGGAATTTCTTGATTTCAATAAAAATGCTGATGTTTTCTCTAAAGAAACATTTTTCAAGGATCGTAATACCGAGACTACTACGGACTTCACCACTGATTTACCAGATGAAAGTAGCACCACAACAGGTGATTTTCTTTTGATATAAATAATATTTTTTACAAATTGTTTACTTTTCAAGAAGCGAACGTAGAAGAAGATATTTCAACACAAACAGCTTTATTAAGCACTGAAACAGATGATTTTTCCATCGATTCGTTGGCCTTGACAAAAGAGATGGTAATAACAACCCGTGAGCCGCAGCTAAGCTTGCAAGAACGTACTAAAGAAGAAATCGTTGAGAATAGGATGATAGGAAATCGTACGGAACAACCGCTTATTGAAATATTCACAACAACCAACGAGGGAGTAAAGGATTTGGAAGCCGAAGAGCTATTGAGTGAAACAACGAATATCGATAATCCAGGTATTATTAAATAGTTTCGATTAGTTTTCTACAACATGTGAAAAAAAATCAAACAAAGATTTAGATTATCTCGAGTGCAATGTGTAACAAATAGATTTTAATATTCCAGATAGTACGGATAGAAAAACTGATTTAACCCAACAACACATCTCTACCACTATTACTAAAACAAATCAATTACAAATTAAAACATTAATACGAGAATCTACATCCAACATTAAACACAAGCACCAAAATCTCTTAAAAACCGCAACAACATCCACTTTAAGTTCTACAGTAAGTCCAAATAATTTTCACGCGATTGATTACGATAGTATTGAAGATGAAAAGGCCGTTTTGGACGATGAGGTCATAATAAAAGATTTATCGGCATTTATTAAACGACAATCCAACCGAGACTTAATATCGGAAGAAGAAGGATCTGGTGAAAAAGAAAAGGAGAAATTGGAAGCTTTCGAATTGCCAAATGAAAATTTGAATGATATCTCGACCGAAAGCGACGTAAAAGAGCTAAAAAATGTACAAGCCCAACAAAAACTTGCTGTTGAGTACACTACTACCGAAAACGGAGATTTATTTTTAAGTGATAGAAAAATAATTGATCGTGAAGAATTTGGTGTTTATCGTAAGCCATTCAAGGAATTTTCTGCGGAAGGATTTTCAAATGAAGAAATCACCGAAAATGTTGAAAATACACTGACCTCATCTTTTAAATCTTTACAAAACAGGGACGGTACAGAAAAGAGCGACTTTCTAAGCACAGTTGACTCTTTAAGAGATGATTATATTGAAATTGAAAATCTGACACCTCTCGCTGAGAGCAATCTTAGCGTAACCAAATCGAATCGTAATCAGTTTAAAAACAATTTAAAATCGAAAGTGGTAGGTCTTCAATATGATTTATCTGCAACCAGTACATCACCACCGCCCAAACTGATAACATTTCAGAATATCACAAACCCTTTCATGATCAAAACTTATGAAAATAAATCCGAAGAAATTATTTATTTTTTAAAAAACAACAATGACAATTTAAAGATCCATCTAAGACATCCACCTAAAAAACAGCACTCCACACATTTATCACAAAAAGATACCGAACCAGTGATTTTTACTAATTTTAGTATAACGGTTACAGAGGCTAGTAATGGGAATCAAGTAAATGCAACCGTACCACGATTGGAAATTCAAATAGAAGATCCTTTAGATGTACATTTCGTAATAAATCCTCATAGTTGTACACAAAGTCATACACATCGTAACGGTAAGATTTGTAGACGTTGTATATACGACAACGTTCCATTAAGCGAACATTTTGTATTTCAGAAACAAAACATGCTGTGTTCATAAAGTGGTTCGCAAATTCTTCAAATAAGACTTTGGCTTTGGAAACCGCTAATTAAAACTTAATTCCCCAATTAACTTTTACTATATAATTACTTTAAATATAAGTAAATAATAGAAATATACTATTGTAAAATATCATTTAATCTGAAGTTGCTCATGAGAATCATTTAAGCGATTTTGAAGTAAGCATTAATTGATTACACTGTCTCTTCAAACGAACTCTGCAAACATTCTCAGTTGTATGGAATTTTTATTTTCTCAGATGGTTGGAATTTGTATACAAATTATTGAGAATATATACGCTTAATATCGCATCGATGGCTTTTTTACAAAGCCCTGTTGAATTATTGAGAACGAATATGCGTTTATTCTCTAAAGTCGTACAATACATGCAAAATAATTGTAAACAAACGTATTCAAACTCTGCAAATCAGAGCAGAAAATTTGCCGACGGCTTTACAAATTAGTATTACGTTCGTTCTGCAAATAGCAGAGAATTTAACGTTGGCTCTGGAAATAGCAGAGAATTTAAC